CCCCAAAACCCCAAAACCCCAAAACCCCATAAGTTTAAAAGTTAAGACATCAAAATTAAATTCATTTTATGAACATGTATGAAAATTAAGATAGTTAGAGTGTTTATTTATGGCGATTTATATTGAAAAGTCACTTAGTATGTATTCTTAGCATTCTTTGCTAGGTGTGAGCACGCTCAGTACTTCTCATCATGTGTGCATTGCTCTTATTGAAGTAGTCTACAAGTCTTTACCTTTGAATAAGTATTTTGGTTTTCTGCATTAGCTTTTCCTTCTCAGGCTTAGATAATTTAAGCATTGCTCCTTAGTTATTCGTTGGAGAGTAAAAAGTCTGAATTTGCATCATCTAGTGTGAGTTCAGTATTTAGTCTTAATTTTCCAAAGCCTTATTGTAGTACCACTATTACTAGGAATTGCTATCCTTCAAACTGATACTATGATGGGATTTTACAGTCTAGGAGAATTGTCGTTTGGGCCCTTAAGCTCTGTTCTAATAAATATCAGAGGAGGATTTGGAGTTAAACAAAGAGTTCGCCTATTGGTTATCTGCTTAGAGCACAGACTCTGTGTTTATAGTTTTGAGAGAAGCATTCGTCATTAGACTTTGAAATGGTTTTTTACTGATAGTTTCCTAGCGTAGATTGTCCTGTGACTTGATAAAGTTAAAGTACTCATTCTCATCAGCGTTTTCATACAGAATGGGTTCGGTGTTTCTCGAAGTTTTAAGATGCTAAGTGAATTTCTAAAACTTGACGACCCTATTGTCTTCTCCTCTCTTTTCTTTGATCTTTTGTACAATGTTATCTATCTACTCTACTGTGTTTAGCTTAGGCCTTGTGATTATGACCTGAGGCTCATATTACTGTAATATCGATTTTGGCGTTTCATATTCCATATACTCTTACACTTTGATTAGTTCCTCATGCTTGATTAGAGCGGACTGCTTGCCAGTATGAAGAGTACTTACAGTTCTTCGCTTTGAACTTGGCTCTTGGATATCTTGAATCTCGTCCTTTAAACTGACTAAGATAGGTGATTACAGATTTGAAAATTCCTAACTCTTTTTTATTATTGGTGAAAATTGCTGGTAGATTTATCTTTCTGCAAATGCCAAGTCTTTGATGCTTTCTCTTTGACTCTTCAGCTGCGAAAGTTATTCAAGTTTAAAATCCAAATTCTTCATCTTAAGATTTACCTCTATTGTCTTTTTTGTAACACCTTTGCAAATCGAAAACTTTTTGTCCTGGATAGAATTAGTTTATAATGATTACTATCTGTCCAATGAGCTTTGGCCATCTCTTGCCAGAGATGATTTCCTGAGCTCATCTGAAGTAGGGTTATCTTAATTATGATTATTCCTATCAATTAAAGCTTTATTTTTCATTTTTGCAGGATCATTTGCAGGGTCGTTCGGTCTTTTTACCTTGGTGTCTAGGCCTTCTTACTTTCTTACTAGTTCCTATTTTATAGATCTATCAGCATTAAGGTAGCTTGCTATTCGTTTCTAAACAAATTCATACCACTAATCTTAATATTCGGTCACTATTTTCATGTTCTTTTTAGATACCTCTGCTAGAGCATCCTTTGGGAAGTAAAATACAGTTGATTTATTCTTAGTGCAAGTTACTGTGAACTGCCTGGTAGTATCCTACTGCAAATATTCCTCCAGTCCAAACATCTCGAGATCACTTAGGATACAGATCTAGGCAATTTCTGTATTAACCTTCTAGTGTTTCTTGTTAAAGGCTTAGAGATTTTGACTTTGCTTGAACTTTTTATAATCTACCTAGGAACCATCTACGAAGTTCTTAATAGTTTTACTACTCCTGTTAAAAGGTATCTTCACACTTTTAGTCATCTCAAATTCCCCGTTTTTAATAAAGTATATATAGTCCATGACGTCTTTGCTCTCTTTATAAATCACTTAACCCCTATTGTATTCCTATTGTTACAGAAAATAAGTGAGTTTCTCAAGTTTACTAGGATTTATATTTGTGAAAATTTTATAATTGAGCAGGAAATTCACTCTTTCTTGAAGCTTATTCTGCATTGCTTTACCCATTGCTCTGTTGTAGGACTTTTTATCCATTACTACAAAATCGCAGTCCTCAGCAGCCAATGCTGTCCCTGATCTTTTGGAGCCTGGTTTGAGTAGAGCCCACTCTCCAAAATGGAATCCCTTTGATAGCCTGGCCACTGACTAGAATACTTCTACCTAAAAATAAAATTATTTGATAAGTTTCATATTTACATTGTAAACTTTTTTAGGTTGATATGGTTGCAGATGAATCGAAGGATTTGAAGAGTTATTCTTACTTTCCTGTGAGTTGTTGATAAATATATCTAAACCCATAATGGCTCCTAGTGGAGAGGTTGCCAAAACGCTCTTTCTATGCTAATTATTAAGTGTAAGATTGTAAGCTTCCATCTCTTCTGAATTGAGTTCTTTTATGCTCAGTAAATCTGGGTTATTGAGATACTCTAAATATTCATGTTATGTAAGAGCCATAGTGTATAATTTAGGAACTTTGATCTGCACAGCTCCTTTGAGTATGATATAGAAGAGATCTGGTGGGTCATTATAGTTGAAGATAATCGCATCTTGCTTGATGTGAAGGTGCCTCATGAATTGAAAGATAAACATTTAACTATCTTCCCCCTTTATCACATCAGCCATGAAACTGAAGTCCTTGAAATAATCCTTCATTATCATCAGATCCTCAGTTGTCCTCTCCCGCTGCAAGCATTTGATTATATCATCGGATGATGCTTTCTTGGCAGAATACAAAGAAGCAACTCTAAGCTTTAATAGCAAATTCTTTTTTACTTTTAGCAATCTTTAATTTTCTGAAGGTGTTTATTTAAGAGGGGTAATAGGATTTCCTAGCAAATGCTGCTAATTGCTTAAGCCAGCACCTAGAAACATAGTTGATATAGGTTTAGGCCTCATAAACCTATTTTTCTGTGAATGTGGTGACTGCTGAGACTGCACTGTAATGCTTGGCGGTTCCTTGATGTCTGACAATTCAAACGATGGCAAATTTATTTTGTCCTTGCTTTCTTGCGGACTTTCACTATCCTCTTCACTCTCATTGAAGTTCTGTATGATAATTTTTTAAGTTTTCTTGCGACTGATTTAACGCATCATCTAGTCTTCCTCATTTAGTACTTCCTTAGGATTGTAGTCATCATCAGCCTTGATCATAATGGCCTTAAACAGTTGGGATTAAATGTCTCTTCGCATTTTTAATGAATTTATTAAATTTAATCCTTACTCTCATTGATAGGCTTTTAATATTTATGCAAGCATATAATTCTTAAATAAAAACCAGATTTATCACGTTTTTAAAGCCAGTTTATTTCTCCTTATCTATCTATATTCTTCAATTTTGACTATCGGGGTTTTGGGGTTTTGGGGTTTTGGGG